AATTTGCACTATTTCTAGCAGTCTGCAAAGGCCCTATGACTCTGGAGAGCAGGGATCAAATCCCCACTCAACCATGGGAACCCACTGAATGACCTTGGCCAAGCCACACACACTCAGCCTCAAAGGAAGGCAAAGGCAAACCCCTTCTCAACAAATCTTGCCAGGAAAATCCTATAATAGGTTCATCTTAGGGTTGCCGTTAAGTTGGAAACGACTTGAAGGCACACAACAACAACAACAAACCCTAATTTTTAAAAAAATCCACCAGTGTAACATCTTTGTTTGTAATATCTTGCCTGATGAAGAAGCCCATGGAGCTTCAAAAGCTTGCAACAAGTATATTGTGCATTTTGGTTGGCCAGTAAAGGTATCACTGATGGATTTTTGTTTGAATTTGCTAAATGGCCAACATAGCTATTCCTGAATATAAACTCTAATTTAGTATGACAAACATGGGCAAATACACAGGGATTTAAAACCAGATGTTGTGCTTAGTCTTCTCTCTAACTTGGGAAATATATTGGGCTTTATTGCACAATCAAATATTTTCAGACTTCAAATTCTTTCTGCTGTGTTCTGTGAAGATTTTTGCTAATTCTGGCAGGTTCTTTTAAAACCAAGAAACAAATGGAATGAAATCATCACCCAGCAGTAGCCATGGCAGATAACAAGGTGAAGTGCCCCATCCTTATGGGACATTTTCCCAAACAAAATTGCCTTTCTCAAACTGTTTTCCCACCTAGAAGAAAGCTGCATGATAGGCTGTGAATGGGGAAAATAAGAGCATGGAGACATGGATCACCCTGATCTGAAAAACAGCATTCAAGGAAAGGGTTACGCTCTGCTTCCTCCATGCAAATGCTTCTCCAATCAAAATCAGATTCCCCTGTGGCTGTTTAAAAGTAAAGATAAGTACTGGATAGAGTGGGGATGAAGTGTCATCCCATTCCTCATGTCTTCTGTTTCATCTACTTTGACCCTGGGTGAGAATGGTGGGGAGATATGGTAAAATACTGAATCCACCAACCAGAAAACTTGTTCACTCCTGACTTAAGGCCTGAGCTGTAAGGAGCATCCTTAGGTAACCCTCTGAGTCACTGTAAATAGGTTTGCACCTTCCAGCATACTATAGAAATAATCATGGCTTTTCCCTCTCCTGGACTGGAGCAATCCCATCCCCATTCCACATGGAACAAAGCGAGTGCTTATCTGTACTTCTGCTATTGGCAACCTCTGCTTCTCAGAATGTGTGTATGTGTGTGTGTCTGCATGATTATCAGTAGGGCAGGGCAAGGAAATATACCGCATGATGAGCAGCTGAAAAGGAGTCTAGTCAAAACACAGCAAAACAAGAGCATCAAACGGCACAATTCCAGCAGGGTTGTAGTGTGCAGGAGACAAACAGCAGTACAGAAAATAAATCACTAAAATCATTCCAGGACACTTACTGCTATTCGGGTGAGGGATGCCTTTACCGCGCTCCATTTGTCCCGCCGCCTGTCTATAATGATGATGAATCCGATGCTGGCAGCCTCCAGACTGCAAAATATCCAAAGCAGGTATATGGGGTTACAAGGAGGAGGCAGCCCTGTTCCAAGTAACAATAATACTGCAGCAAAAAGACAGCATCTATGGCACACTCAGAGCTCATTGTTAACAAGCAGGGGAGACAAGGAAAAGCATGAATGAATTGGACCAGGAGCAAGAAGATGCAAATGTTCCCGCCACACCACCCTGCAATCCTTTTCTTCCTTCGACCCCAGCATCAGGTTAGTAGCTTCAACAAAACATGCATATTTTATCCATCAGACTGCTTGCACTGCTTTGCTGCAGATTCCCCAAGCCATGGTGATGTGAACAGTTTGGAATCACCTACGTGCCTATATGCTGGTAAACAAAAGATCCCAGTTTGTTTGGCAAACAAACACCACCCCATACAACAACAAAAAACCAGGCCTGTTTTGAACAATCCCCACACTTACTCTTTCTTCCCATGTACAGTATGGGAGCAAGTCTGTTCCTAATCAATCCTCCATGTGTATTAGGGGAGCAAGATGGTTTTAGGGGGGCATCTAGGCATTAGGGGAGTGTGTATTAGGGGAGCAACTAAAGTGATCTTACTCTCTGGGAAGACAAGGCACAGCTCACATACCCCTCCCAACAAGCTTGTACTGTATTAGGGGTGGAAGGGTACTAGATTTTGCAATGGATTGTTAGGTGGCTCCACCTCTGGTGACTTCACCCTGCACCCCACCAGTGCGTATTGGTCTCCCTTGCCACCTGGCACATCTTTGCCACCTCTGAGGCGGCAAGATAGTTATGCATAGGAGTAGCATTTGGATATGAGATATGCCTAAATGAGATACATCTACAACTGGATCACAGGTCACTTCCAAGATTCTGCAAGAAATGTGGACTGCACTGTGAACAATGGATTTTATGCCGTGTTATTCAAACAAAATTACATTTGATAGGTTTCATCCCAATTATTCAAACATTATCCTCACATGTGCTTTTAAATAGGACTCTGATCCTTTGGTCAGCCTCGCCTGGACTACTATATGTCCAGTTCTGGGGGCACCACAATTCAAAAAGGATGTAGACAAGCTGGAGTGTGTCCAGGGGAGGGCAACCAAAATGGAAACCATGCCTTATGAGGAGAGATTAAGGGAGCTGGGTATGTTTAGCCTAGAGAAAAGATAATTAAGAGATGATACGATAGCCCTGTTTAAGTATTTTAAGAGGTGTCATATTGAAGATGGAGCAAGCTTGTTTTCTTCTGCTCCAGTGACTAGGACAGGGGTAGGCAACCCCTTTAAGGGCCAAGGGACTTCAGCTCCCAGAATCCCAGGAGCTATTGGTCAACATGGGACTATTGGCCAACATGGCTGAGGCTTCTGGGAACTGAAGTCCCTCGGCCCTTAAAGGGGAAAGGTTGCCTACCCCTGGACTAGGACATGAAACAATGGATGCAAGTTACAGAAAAAGAGATTCCAACTATTAGGAGGAACTTCCTGACAGTAAGAGCTGTTTGACAGTGGAACACACTCCCATGGAGAGTGATGGAGTCTCCTTCTTTGGAGGTTTTTAAACAGAGGCTGGATGGCCATCTGTGAGGGCTGCTTTGATTCTGTGTTCCTACATGGCAGTGGGTTGGTTTGGATGGCCCTTGGGGTCTCTTCCAACTCTATGATTCTATGCACTGGTGTAGCATTTGAATATGAGATACATCTACAATTGAATCACAGGTCCCTTCCAAGGTTCTGCCAGAAATTTGGATTGCACTGTGCACAATGGATTTTATGCTGTATTATTCAAACAAAATCACAAGTTTAATAGTGATTATTCAGTTATTCAGACATTACACTTCCAAGTGACTTTTCAACAGGACAGAAACACTTTGTAAACAGGGCAGTCAGGAATGATAGGATTCTCTCGTTACTCCTTACCTATCCACAACTTGAGCAAGGAAGAAAAAAGAACAAGGAAGGGTACCGGTATATAAAATTTGAAGTTAACTACAGTTAGTTATTCTCAGTGGTTGCAAGGAAGGGCAATCTTTAATTAAGGGAATGAAGATGACCCTCTTGTTGTTTCTGAAAAAAGTGTTCTCCTCATGACCAGGGAATCTTTCACACTACAGAATTATAGCACTATAGTACACTTTAACTGTTATGACAATATCTTATAGAATTGTTAAGTTTTGTCATTTGGTGAAGCCTTCCCCTGAGGCTGAGAGTGTGTGACTTACCCAAGGTCACCCAGTGGGTTTCATATCCTAGTGGGGAATTGAAGCCTGATCTCCAGAATCACAGTCCAACACTCAAACCACTATGCCAGACTGGGATGGACCCTAAATCATAATGCTGGATTTGCATTAACCTCAGTCTAGACTCAGTGGAAAAAGTATGGTGGGGGGAAAAGCCTGGAAGTGACTGCTTTTCTTGATCTACCAGGGTCTAGTCAGATGAGCACAGCAAACGGCTTCCCTCCCCTCATGTTGAGCTATGCCTCTTCCAAGAAGCATTTATGTAGCGATATCATACAATGAAGAAATATGCTTTTTGGCATACACTTGAGCATGTTATACCTTTGAGAAATATACACTAAGCATATTTCTCTTATTGCTGAGAAACTGCAGAGTAGGACACAGGCTGTCCTTCCAAGGCAGGTTGCAAGGATTCCACCTGAGCTCAGGTTTTGGCACGTATCCCCTGCCAATTCCAGACCTTGAAAAAGTTACCTGTCTCAAGCCATCTCAGAGAATCTCCCTGTCAGCATGACTAAGAGAAGTGCTAGCTCAAGGGATTCTGGGGCTTGTATTCTTTTAAAAAGTAACTTTTTGGCCCTACTCTTGGTCATACAACTGATTTTAAATGTGGAATTTATTATTTATGGTACCGTTATCAAGAAACAGTGTGATGTAGTGGTCTGAGTATTGGATTAAGGTGCTGTGAGACCAGGCTTCAAATCCCTGCTCAGCTATGGAAACCTACTGGGTGCCCTTGGGCAAGTCACACTCTCTCAGCCTCAGAGGAAGCCTATGGCAAACCTTCTTGGAACAAATCCTGCCAAGAAAACCCCATGGTAGGTTTACCTTAGGGGCACTCTAAGTCAGGAACAACTTGAAGGCACACAGCAACAACCACCACCACCTCACAGCACTGGTAAAGCTAATGTTGTCATTGTGTGACCAACCTTCCTACTGAGTTTATTCCCAACTGGTAAATTCAGGGGTGTATTTAAGAGACTAAAATGGAACAATCTATTAACACTCTGATGTTCAAAGTCAATAATGTCTGACTTCTGGCAATTTGAGGAAGAAAAGGACAAAACAATACTCTCCCTGTTCTTCTTTTTTGGTTATTTGAGGCTGTTCCAAAAGCCAAGTCCTACTCAGAGAAAGAAAGTGTCAGCAAATTATACAATTTCAACTCAGCACCCCAAAATAGAAGCTCAGGCCAGGGACAGGATGACACTTGGAACTGTCCGGATATCTATGTGTCATGTGCAAACACTCCTACAGAAATCCTAAATGTTGTGGGTTGTTATTCTTTTTTCTTTTTTTTAAGAGAAACAGATTTAGAAAGGAGAAATTTAGTGTTGCGGTGCAATGGGAAACTGAAAAGGGTGTTTGTTTCTTCTCCCACTGTCAACTTCTCTACTAAAAATTGTGGACACATTCTTTTCTCACCACAGGTTTCAATTTGTTTTCAGTGACAAGAAATTTTTTATAAGGGACCACTGGGCAAAGGAAGAGGTTGAACAGGGAATGAGTTATGCCCTCTCTTCATATACCTTTCCACTCTAAAACTCTGCTCTTCCTTTTTTCTTTTTAACATTATTCAATGCTGGAGAGAGCCAGTGTAGTGTAGTGGTTTGAATGTTGGACAAGAACACTGGGAAACCAGGATCTGAATCCCTGCTTCGCCATGGAAACCCACTGGGTGACCTTTGGGAAGTCATACTTTCTCAGCCTCATAGTAAGGCAATGGCAAGCCACCTTGAACAAATCATGCCAAGAAAAACCCATGACAGGTTCACCTTGGGGTTGCCGGAAGTCGAAAACTTGAAGGCACACAACAAAAAACAGACCGGGAACTATCCAAAGCATGTGAAGCTATTCCTCAGTGTGAATGTATAGATTTATTGATAGGAATTGTGCAGCCTGTGTACTGCAGCCCTGATGTCACCCTCTATAAGGCCTTACCACCTGCCAAATTCAGCTGGGAAAAAGTCATTTTTGAGTTAAAAGCATGTACAAGTTAAAAGGTTATTGCATTTTGTTTTGGGGGGACTTCACCAGAATAGGTGTCTGTCCCCCAAAAAAGACCAAAATACAACTGTTGAAAGTAATTCATCATCACTTATGTTTCCCCCAAAAGGCTACTGCATGAAAACTTTGTGGCTGTCCAGAGCTATGGAGCAGTATCTATACTGTAAACAGAGTACAACTTGATATGAACTCTCTGCAACCACTTTGCTGCAAAGAGACACAAGAAGAACATTACAGCAGAAAATAAAGCTTTATGGATTGCAAACAAGGATAGCATTCTGATACTGTTTATAGGAGGGGTTAGTAGAGTATGACACTGGGGCCATATGTGATTCCTAAAACTGTTTTTTGTCACATTCATTGTATTCAGATGTCCAGGACATCTGAGGGGTGACTCGTGAAACAAGAAATCAGCTTTTACATGAGTTATACATTCACAATATAATGCTTGGTAAGGTAGAAGGCAGCAGAAAAAGACCAAATTCCAGACTGATAGATCCAATAAAGGAAGCCATGGGCCTGGGTCTGCAAGACCTGAGCAGGGATGTTGATGACAAGGTGACCTGGAGGTCTCTCATTCATGGGGAAGTCAGTTGATGGCATTTAACAACAAAAACACTCTTTACCATAAAAATTAGATCCCCCCCCCTCAACCAGAAGTTTACTTCCTGCCACTTCCAGGTTGAAAGCATATTGTTGGCAGCTCATGCAGCCTTCAGAGGGTTCCAGGGCAGAAAATTGCTCACAAAGCCTACTGCAGCTTTAGATTTCCAAATCTTGCAATTGCAATGTTTACATCTCTACAAACAGCCCAGATGTCTAGCTTAACCTGCTTTGGATCCTGTAACACTAGAATATTTCTTCAATACAAAAATAACCTAAGCAAAGGTATGTCCTGTAATTCAAGCTTTCACAGCTCTGAACTGGTTCTGGCTTAACCAGGTTTAATACACATTTATCTCAAACTGCCTTCTAGGTAGTACTGGCATTCAAGACATTGGTGAAATTAACTGATGCCAACCTCTCAAAGCAGTTGTTGAGTAGCACCACTTGCAAGTTTGACATAAAAAACAGCAAATTGCAAAAGCTGGGGGAAACCACCATCTGTTCTGTTAAACATGGTGCCCCTTATCTATGACCTTAAAGGAGAGCTTTCAAAACTTAACTGTGTCCAGCTACCACTCCCAGAATTATTGGCCATGCTGGATGGGAGACTGTGTCAGGTGTATTTCAAAAAAGTAACTCTGGGGCTTGTTATAACAAGTTCTGGGGCTTGTTGTAACAGCAACCATCTAGCACAGCCTTCTTTCAGTGCTGAAGCATTTGGCAAAGAGAAAGCGAGTGTCACCAGTACACCAACCTCATTAGTGTCACCAGCGGTGAAAACAGATGATGAAACACAAAAACATATGAAATTAAAGAGCTAGTGTATCTGTCTATACAACAACCAATAGTTTTAACAACTCCACAGTCTAAGGACAGAATTGCACTTCACATGATACAAAAGCTGCCATGGAAAATGGTATCCTGTGTCAAGTTTTCCCAATCAATCAATCAATCAATCAATCAAATATCATAACTTTTCCCTAAGAGTGGGAGTCAAGGCAAAGAATCAACACAAGTTTTCTCCTGTAACTTGTTGACTTAGGCCCGAAACAGACAGCCAAAAGTGCTGCCTTCAGGCCAATCCGGGGGCATGGCGTATAGATGATGTATGTCCCTAGATTGGGCTGAAGCTGTGCCATAGCCGCCTGAGGCAGCCCAAACCTGGCCACAAAAGAACTGCAAAAAAAGTGCTCATTGTCAGCAGTCAGTTGTGGACTGCAACAGCAGCTGGTCTCGGGACCCCGGCATCTGGTCGGTACCATCTTGTGCCAAACGGGGAGTGACCAGCACTGGAGAGGCCAGAAGCCGCTCCAAGCTGCC